CTGCGCGACAGACCGCGCGTCCAAACGCCCATGCTTCTGTCGCCGCACCCAGGCGAAATTAGACAGCGAATTGGCCAACCACCGCGCTGTCAGCGGCAACTGCCCATGCCGCCCGCTGCCTTGTCCGACCAGCGTCCACACAAACGCTACAAGGTACTCTAGCAATGTTTCATCATTGGAGTTCGATCCGCCCCACGTCAACAGTCCAGCGCTCCAGTGCTCCGGTTCATGCAGCTCGCGCATCGCGCCCTTGAACTCATCGAACCGGTGAAAACTCACCCTCGCAAGCTGCATGCATTCCATGGCAAGCAGCATCCACAACACCCGCAACTCAAACGATTGGGGGCTTGCAAAGAAGCGCAGGTACCGTTCCACGCTGGCAGCATTGGCCGTCTGGTATCCCCAGTCGTCGCGGGTTTCGTCGAACTCGCCCACTACTGTCAATCGGCGCGTAACATCGCGCACATACCCCAAGTCCACCCCACCCGGCAGGCGTGAAAATCCGAGAGCGATCCCAGTCGAATCCCAACTCTCGCTCAACACTTCGTCTCTGGTGAGACCGGTCCGCTCCGGCCCACCAAGTTCGGCTTTCACTTTGACCTCCGTCTTTGCGGTTGCTCCCACGCCGCTCGCCTTTCCTTATGTCCCCCCAACGCCTATAGTGTTGGGATGTTCCCCATCGCCTTATGCTGTCCCAGTCACACCTTCGCAAGGTCACCTTCCTCGCTGCTTCCGCAGCCTCCTTGGCTGCTTCGTCCGCCGCCTTCGCCGCAGCTGCTGCGATCGCTTTGGTCTCTTCGGCAGGCCTTGCCTTTGCCTTCACCTCTTCGGCCGCTCTTGCCTTCTTGGCGGCCTCCTCCCGTGCCTGGTGCTGGTCCAGCAGCTTTTGCACACCTTCGGCGCCCACTGTCTGCATGGCACTTTTCACCAAGTCTGCAGCCGCTTGCTGCTCCAGCTGCCCAAGCCGTTCGCGCTTCACGGCCGCCTTGGCCTCCCAGTCGGCCTTTTGCTGCGCTACTTCGGCCGCGTCCTCGCTTGGCGCCGCTCCGTCGTCATCATCCGACTCGGCTGTGAGGTTCACTACCTCGACTTGCTGCGCCTGCGCTTCGGTCTCTTCCACGCTGTCGTCGGCATCCTCGGCGATTTCGCTCGCCTTGCGCTTCTCGCCTTCGTCTGTCATCTCAATATCAACTGTCACGTCACAATTCCCTGTCATTTTTGACCACGTGATGATGGCACGTTCTGTCTTAAGTAGTGGAGGGTGTAACCGTGCCCATCATCCGGTTACTAACCGGATGACTAGTCGACACCTCTTCAGACCAACGTGTCTTTTCGTATACCGACATGTCTTCTTGCGCAACCAAGGTGTTGTCCCGACGATGCATCAATGGTTGGTTGCGCGTAGCTTAGTGATAGCGTAGTAGTCTTAACGCTATCAATTCATTCTTGATACTACCATCTCCTGCGTCGTCCTCTGCGCACGCCCACAAGGATGACGACATCTACACCACCTCCCAGTCAAGTTGAATCGTTTTTCCAGTCAAGTTGGAATTTAAGACGTCTGCAACGATAAAAAACATACCAAAAAGGTAGGAAACGAACAATTTCAAATACCAAGTTGGAATTTTAACATTCAAGATGAAATGCACTATTGGCCATAGACCATGTCCTCCAATCGAAAGGCTTTTTCGACATTGCTCTGGCAAAACACCACCTCTCGGATCACCAACGACTGGGTAATGCAGGGAAGCGACTCTCGAGCTGCGTCCTCCAACAAGACCATCCGACGCTCCAGATACGTATTGTAGTCGCCGCGGTCAAACATTGCGCTGGTATGATGGGCAAGGTAACCCTTCATCTTGGACTTGAGAACGCTTAAGCAACTTTCAATAGGGTTTAGCATCGGCGAATACGGCCCAAGTCGGAGGAGCGTCATGTCATCATGTTGGACAACGCGTCGTTCCGTTTGCGAGTGGGCTGGCACGTTGTCCAAGATGATGACAACACGCTTGCCTTCGAAATGGTCCCGCCACACGTCGCTTGCCTTCACGACTTGGTAAATCTCTTCAACAAAGCCTGCGTTTTGGTCCATCTTGATGCTTCCACGCTCAAGGCGATGGCAAACAAGGCCCAAGTCGGGTGAGATGGCGCATTGGACTTGCAGATTTGGACCCTTCGAAGGCGGCAATATGATGGATGCGCGTGTGCCTCTTTTTGAGCGTCCTCGGTTTCGCTTGCAGTACAGATTGAAGTTTGTTTCGTCGTAATAGACAATGAAGTCTCCATTGGATTGATGGTGTTTGAGGTGCACAGTGAATTCGTGACGTTTCGCTTTGTTGACTTCATTGTTGCACGATGATGGTTCAACACGCACTTCCTTGACTGTGTAAAGCATGCCCAGGATATGACGGCTGATTGTTTGCTGGGAAATGTTGACTCCAGGGAAGTCGGTGGCGATGAGATCTTTCATTTCGAGAAGGGTGTATTGGCAATTAGAATCGAGATATCTCTCCAAAGCCGCTCGAATCTCCGGTGTGACCTTTGCTTGTTGTGGTCGATGGCCGCCCATGGGCATCAAGGTTGTTCGACCAGTGTTGACAACGCGCCAGGCTGTAGTGGATGCCATGCCATTATGTTTCGCCACGAGCTTCCAGTCGTCGCCGCGCTGGTAGGCTTCGAGTACGCGCTCCTTTTCTTCTGACGTTGGCCCTTTGCGCTTAACGCAGGATGGCATAGCAAGGTCAAGAATTTGGAAGTGAGTCGAAGTTCATTTATTGTTATATCATGCATTCCATCCACTTTTCCCGCTAACGTATTCCAACTTGATTGGATATTATTCCAACTTGATTCGAGTTTTTTCACATCACTTCACTCGTCAAAATTTATACTTTTTATCCATTCCAACTTGACTGGAAAAACGATTCAACTTGACTGGGAGGTGGTGTATATCTTGAGAGAGAACACGTTGGGCCTGTAACCTTCCCCATCACGAGAGTATGCGAACACGAGTACGATCGACGCTAGTTTCGTTGTTCTGCTTGACCGAGACCAACGATAGATTTGATCGAAATGGTTTGTTCAAGACTTGTTCTATTATGCCCTGCTGGAGTATATCCTAGAAGTACAATAATCTTTAGTACTACTGGAATCTTCCGTTTAGTGAGTGAACACCATGTTCGTACGATCACGTCAGGGTCTGAGTGGAAGGTGGAACATCACGGACTAAGAAGTACTTCGGTACTGGGGCACACTGCTGACGCCATCGATACATCAACGCATTGACATACTTGGAGACTACGAGTATGAATACAATACGCCTTGACAGCTACGAGGTGGCCCTTCTACCCACATCGTTGCTGTTAAGGTTTAGTGTGTTTCAATTTCGGATTGCGGCGGTAAGCGAAGAAAGTGCGGTAGCATCGGTGACAAGAGGAGGATGCGCAACTTTGGCGGTGTCAGGGGGAGGAAGTGCATCGGTCTGGCAAGCGGAGGGTTGCGTCCTATTCGACGGTAGAAGACTTGTCGGCAACGGGTTGCTAAGCATCTCTGCAACACCTCCGTGTCTGAGTTGTCTTGCATGGCAAGGATTTAAACATTCATTCTTTTAGCCAATCATAATTCAAAACATCAGCATTTTTAGCCAATAATATCGATGTGGCGTTTTTTGTCGATTTCAACAATCCCCCGAAATTGGCAAATTTGGGTGAAATTGACAATAAAACAAGAGGCAAAAAAGGTCAAAAGCACAATAGATCCACCCAATCAATGGGTCGTAAACGGTCATGTTATCCGGTAATCGTGGGCGTTTTTTGGTGGGCGCAGGCGGCCGACGATTACTACACCATTTCACGTTCAAGTTGAAATGAATTTCCAGTCAATGTGAAATGAACACGTTCGAAACACGACGATTTTCAAATCAACATGAATTCTCTAACATTCCACTTGAAACATACTTTGTTTCATATATATTCTGGTGTATGATTTGGAAGTTGGGTGAGGGAGGGTAGACATGATGAATAAATCACTATTGTATACTGAAGGGTAGTATAATTCATCACCTTATGGTCACTATACTATAGTTGAAGTAAGTTTAACGTTTTATTTTGAAGTGAACATTTTTCACGTTGAGATGTGAAACTGCACTTGTGAAATCTTATAATATTTCTGCATTTCACATTGACAGGAAATTCATTTCAATTTGAACGGAAAATGGTGTAGTAATTGACAGTGAGTTAGGATTATCATTTTTAACTCTAAGACCTTCGTACCCAGCAGCCCTTGCTATCCGGATTCCCCAGGGGAGAAACGGATAAGTCCTTGCGGAAATAATCCGAGGAAGCCGGGGATTGACGACGACCTTTGGGTTAGGAAACCGATAGCTATTTTCTCTCCCCCGCAGGCGGCCGACGAGTGGGTACACGGAGTGAATAGGATCGTGGTTTTATACTTGGCGTTTGTATCGACATGCCAACCTGGCACAATCCATACCTTGCGTGGGCACCAATACTTACACGCTTACGTGAGCCAATCGCAGGGCCCGTTGGTCGATTTACGGACCAATGGCATCTGCCGGTTTTGTCGTGTGGACGTGCATGCCAAGCTCACAGGTGTGCGAAACGAAACGACGACGTCAACACGTTCATAACGGGGCGATCCCGACCCACGGAGCATTCGTGTGTCCTGCGTGATTATTGTTGGCTTTGCCTCGCCGCCACACATGCCACGCTACTAGCCACCCGTTCTGCGATCGACGACCAACGAGGATGCGTTGAACAACACACGCACAGCTTCGACCAAGAAGCGATACGACGGGTGCATTAGAAATATCGTGAAATGGACTACGCTACATGGCCACAGTGACTGTGTGGTGGACGCCGTCACGTTGGATGTATCCAAGGTTTCGTTTCAGGATTACAAAGCGTTTCTCGAGTGGTGTTACCAAACACTTAGTCCTGCCGCGTCGACGTTGGTTTCCTATTGAAGCGCCATGATGTACCTCTATGAGTGCAACGCGTGACCGTCCCGCCGAGTTTTCCACGGAATTGCCAACCCTCGTCAAGGGGTACAAGCGTTTTATCGCGACAGATTTGGAAGTGGGTGCCCAGACGTCCCAGTCGAAGCGACCGTTACTGTACGAGATGTTTGAACTCACGGGGCACAGTGTGCTCATTGGGGACCACAGTTGTACCCTTGTGTACCTGCTTTTGATGTGGAACCTCATGGGCCGCTGGAGAACGGCCGCCGCGATTCATTTCTAGAGTCTGCCCTGGGAAGGCGATTGCGTCGGCATACAAATCCCCCGGCACAAGTCGGCCAGTCGGCCCAAGAAGGGGGGATGACCCACACACCCAAGCACTGTTATGCAAACACGTTCCAACCCAACATGTGGGTGGTGCTGGCGTTGGACATGTGCCCTCGCGATTCGTTGGGCATGTACCTGGAGATGCACTCGTAGTACGACTCGTCCGGCGCGCTCTTGCTCACCGGCAACCCCTCCAAGTCGTTGTCCCGATCATCTCCCGAACACAGTGTTTTCGTTTGACGATGACAACGAATTCCACCATGTCACGACCCATTCCATTCGAAGGAAGCTGTGACGTACGCGACGTCGGGCTGCACGGCGGGTCCGTCAACATCACCGTCGTCGAGATTTGAGCCAACGGTCCACGACGCCGCCTGGGCCCACCCACACTCATTATATCACGTGCGGGCGACCAGTATAACGGTCGCATCGTTTCCAGGTTGCCAGAATCGAGTGCCACGTTTGGAACCTATCCGCCGCATTTCCATGTGCGCAAAGGCCCCCTGTTGACAGGCGCCGATATGTTTTTCACGCTTGCGACGGCGATGCAACTGTCGCCCGTTCTGGAGATGTATTTGGCGAATGTGCTATACCACAGGGAGTGGTTGCCCAGACCACGTATTTTTCTCGACGTCGTTCTTTCGGAACAAGAACACGGTGCTCTCCTTGGCCACGCTCGTGACGACCGGCGGAAACGATGGCAAGATCAATCCTACCGGCATTCCTCCGCACGTCAACATGTACACGCAAATGGATGCGATACGCGACCACATGTCCAAAGAACGAACGCGATGCAAGACGAGATTCAAGGCTTGCGCGGCGCGTGTGGTTATGGAGGCGCGATGGCCCCCACAGCCATCGCAGCAATGATGGAGCGGCGACGGCATCGCGCCTTCTGTACGTACAGAACCGACATCCCCGCGTAGATAGTGTTTGATACGTTGTCTCATTCTACGATGCATTTCGACTTTGCCATGGTTGTACATACTTGAAATCTCCTAATAACGTTGAACCCCGCTGTTGTCCATAACGTAACTTGGACTTTTCATGGTGTTTAGATATCGTCTCGATTCCCTTTTATTGGCTAAAATACGTAGTCCTTTCAGCCATACAAATTCGTCCAACCTCGGCGGCATCAGCACATTTGACCTACAACAGCGCTGCCACGCTATAAATCGTTTTTCAAGCTGTAAAATTGACAATATGTGGAACGCCTCATTTCCAAGCATAGAGTGAACGCATCATAGACATCATTGTATACGACGAATAGGTCATCTCCACACAACAAATACAAAATATGACGACAACTACTCCGGTATATTTCACTGGATAAACGCTACTAACGTAAACAATCAATTTATATGTTAAGCCGCATCTGAGGAAGGCGGCTGGGGAGAGCTTCCAAATCTCCCCGCTCATACAACATTTTCGCCCTCTAAAACTTGGAGATTGTAGCTGAATTAATGGGGAAGAACCTCATATCAATTATATTGGGCTTGGGTGCATTTCCAATGACTAAATCAACAATACCCAAGCAAGGTTGATCTTATTTAAACAATTAATTTAGGACGCGTATTTTTATCTTGAACAAGGTATACAAATTGTGTGGTTAAGTTATTTCGCGTCTTTTCATCGGCTCATGTACATCTTATCTTTGATTGAAGCTCTTAAATTGATTGTTTACGTTAGTGAATATGACTCTGCTGAGAACTCGACTTCATGACCAAACGCGGCATGTGCATCTTAGCAAGCAGGGCGGGGGGTGTCGTTGAGCTTGCCGTCGCGCAAGATGGTGCCGACGTTGGCTCGCCCATACCCGTAGCGGTTGTTGGGCCAAGACGCGTCCGATACGTTTCCGCAGTTGTACGCGCCATCACCACGGAAGGTGCCGTTGGCGAAGTACCATTTCTCAGGCTCAGGCTTGAGCACTTCGCGATCGGCGGTCTTGGTCAAGTAGCCGTAGATCTCGTCGTAGGTCAAGTCCGACTGGGCGCTCTTCAACAACGCGACGATGCCGGCAATGTGAGGGGCGGCCATGGACGTGCCAGCCATGAGCACGTACCCGTCCAACACCCTCGCGTTCGCGGAGAGCGTGGGGTAGCCAGGGGCCGAAATGTCCGGCTTGACAATCGTCAGGGTTTGATTGTTCGCGTTGCGAGGGTAGCCGGGACCCTTGGAGCTGAAGGCAGCCAATTGGTTGGGGTCCTTCTGTGCGGACCCGACGGCGCCCACCGAAATGACGCGCGTGTACATGCCGGGGTTGCCAGTGGTTCCGCATTTAGGACCAGCGTTTCCGTTGGAGAAGATGGGTGTGATGCCAGCCGCACGCCACGACGCCACCATGTCTTCGAACACAGGATTGTAGCCTTCAATGGACCCCCACGAGTTGTTGATCACGTCCGCGCCGAGCTTGCATTCGGGGTGAGTGCCGTCCAAGCGAGTGGGGCACAGCATGAACTCGCCGCACTTGAGCAACCCTGCAGGCGTTCCCTCTCGGATGTACAAACCCAAGCACGCAATCCATTGCGCCTCAGGAGCCACGCCAATGCCGTGGCTACCCACCATGGTGCCGATGGTGTGGGTGCCGTGCCTGGCCGAGTCAACGGGAAGGGGGAAAAGAGTGCCGTTGTACGGGTTGAACCACCCCTTGTTGGCGCGCCAGTTGTTCTTCAACGATTCATGGCGGTACTCCGCACCCGTGTCGATGGACCCCACGACCACACCCTTGCCTTTGTAGTACTTCCAGATGTCTGGAGCACCAGTGGTGCTCACGCCCCACTGGGGCACAGTCGCGTTCACGTCGCCGGTTTTAACGGACACCTCCTCATTCAGCACAGGTTCGATCAATTGGACATTGTCGGGGAAGGCGACGCTCTTGACGTTGGAAAGGCGAGCCACTTGGTCGATTTGCTCCTTGGTCAAGCCACGGCAGATCGCCGCGGGGGCGATCCAGAAGTGTTCGCAGTCGGCCGAGTCCAGCACCGAAGCAGACTCCGTTCGTGTCGTGGCAGAGTGGGCCGTCAAGGCGTCATACACGGCTTGGCGGCGGTCTTCATGCTTGGATTCCGCGAGGCTCTCAAGGTCCACCCCGACGAAAGAAATGAGCACGTCGGACGTCCCCGTGGTTTCCAGCGAGCGCAAGACACCCACAGACACTTTGGCATGCGCAACGGTAGCAGCCAACGACAAGACAGCAGCGACTTTCATGGTGGGGAAGAAGGTAAATTCAAGAATGACAACCACTTGCGAAGGTGTTTTCTGCGGCTGTTGAAGTGGCGGCACAGGCGGCACAAAAGCCAAAACCAGACGGACCACGCCATCTGGTTGCTGAAGTCCGAATGTTGCTTTCACATACAGTTGGTTCTCGCTTAACTCCGTAGCCACTATCTCCGCCTTACTCAAGTTTTGGTCCAAAACATCGTACTGAGAACACAAATTAAAAACGAAGAATGAAAAAGATTAAATTATCATTTCGGCCACTATCGATGCGATCGATGTACTCCGGAATTTCGATCATGACAATGCAAAAAGCGATTCACATCACTAGTCTCGAATCCATGGTTCTGCGTGAGCACATCCAGTTCGACTACTTCGTCATCTATGTTGAAATCACTACTTATGATGTTTGACAAAAAGTTGACTCCGATAACTTTAGTTGGCGCATTTGTATTATCCACTTTAACCGAAGATCTTCGAGCTCTTTGTACGTCGCTTCCCTAAAATGATGCCGTGTTGCCAAGATGTTTTAATAATGATAATCCAAAAACTCAATTAACCAAGACGTTTGCAGTGTATGGCTCGCTCTGACCGTATGTGCGTACCTGCAAGTTCATCGAGTATGGACAAACAAACGCTCGACTTCGGTAAGGTGTTCGCCTCTCCCATGAACCATCGTCGAAATGAACTCGGTCCCCACCAATTCATGTTTGATGATAAACAGCAGTGTTGTACGCCACCACATTTTGTCCTGATTACTTTTATTAATAATAGTTATCAGTAACGTTATTAAAAAAATTGTATTTTTATTGTAAATTGTACGTACCTCCACTAACTCCATCAGGGCCTCGGTGCAGTAATGGTAGCAGTGCCCAATGAATACCTTGAGGCTGATCCTTTCCATGGCCTGCTGACATCCTGGGCTACTCCGACCCTTGAATAGCTTAACGTTACTAGCGAATGTAAACGATACAATGCAGCCACTTTGGGGCCCAACAGTCCATACTACTACGTACAGTGTAGTACTTTTAATTCTACCGTAGTACTAGTACTATTAATACTAACTAGTACTACGTATTACTAAGGTGTTTCATGCAATTTCCGCCCAGCTTGTCGTACTTTTGAAGTCTCGTAACCCATCGCCGGTGTGTGTGATGAGGCTGCAAAAGCATGCATTCTCAAGGTCGTTAGGAGCTTTATTAGTTTATGCAGGACCCATCGTTGTATCGATTGTCCATTTTGCTCGACGAATTTTTCAATTCTGTAATTTTCCTATGTAAATGTAAATTCCGCCCAGGTGTTTGACTTGAATAATGTATGACAGATTTGACCACCGAAATTCTCAGAACCTCGTAATAGTAATCTTTATTAAGTGTAAAGGTATTCAATTTATAAGTCATTATAATTATGAGATTACATGAGTTGTCAAAGAAATCAAATATAAAATACTAAGGGTACTAATTACCTGAGTACGTTATTTTATCCAATCATAATCGTTCGATGATTATGATTGGCTGCCAACTGGGCGGAAATTACATGAATCACCTTCCTGTTAGTACTACGTAGTAGTAGTGTGCTACAGTTCTACTGCAAGTTAGGTGTACCTGTATTCCAGTGTCCATATGGTGTTCGATGATTTACACTGTGGATGTTACTTGGCGCAACGCGATCACTGAATCATCAGTCTTTAGTGCATGTCAGTTCCCACTTCGATCCAATGAGTTAGAGGATGAAGAATCGTTGGGTTGACATGGAACAATTCCAAAAAGCTATATGGTTTTCGGTAATGATTGCAGCCAAACCCCCGCACGAGAAAACATGGACCCTGGAAATGTCTAGGACTTGTACCACGTAGTAACTGATAGGAGATGTCGAAACCATCTGGCCGTACTGTAATTGACCATGCAGATCTATTACAGTAGTATCTGCAAATCATCTCCAAATCATCTCACCTCACCTCACGCAGACTGCTCCAACGACACATTTGGGCTCACACACGTGGAGCTCTACGGCGTGTATGGCCGCGTTGTAGAAGACAAAACGCAGGTCAAGTTGGAAGCACATCCAAGGTGTTTCGGCCATGCCGGCAACGGGAGATCAATCGTGTGAAGGACACCCCACCCTTTCAGACCCCTCGGCTCGACGGGTCGTAACTTAATGCATATAACGTTTCTACGGCATTTCATCAGTGCATACACGATGGAGTCGCAACCGTCGTCGTGTTTTTTTGGTTAGCCATTTC